TAATTCATGAATTATATTTTTGCATTTGGCCGCAGCCCTCAGATAGATTTTCATTTTGGGGTAAAGGTTAGGGCAGCCTTGACATAAACTGAAACAGCTGGACTAGTGCATCGTAAATTTAACATCAATTAAATATTTTAATACAACAGTCATTTCTGCATTGTTTTGGGGAGGTCACCTCCTAATAAATTCAAAGCTATTTTAATGGTGCAATACCGCCACCTATTGACAAAAAGCGCATCTACAGGAAGCAGCGGGGGATCTTCACCACTTGAAAATACAATATATGTCATTGAAATCATTTAATATTAGTAGTAACGCAGCTTAGTACTTCACTGTTCCGTTTTAGCTGCATAAAACAACTTTACTTGTAAGAGTGATTGATAAGAATAAGTTTCGTGAAAAACATTGATGTGAATCGAAAGTGATAAAATGATTATGGTTTTTTAACTTTATTATTAAAGGCAATTAAACAAAAATCTTAACCAAATATTTTTTACTTGTACCTCATGTGTAGTCATTGAAACTTTATTGAAGTAGAATGTTTTTGTCCGTAGAAAGAGCGCTTATAACACAGGCCAATGCGCATGCGCAGTTTAGAAACGTAGCATGATCCGTGCCGTCAGCTCATGTGCGCATGCGCAAAGAGAWAATGATAATTATTAAATAATTATTTCCATGTTAATTAGAAACGTGCGCTAAATTGTAATCTGTAAATTTTACACATATTATGGTTAATAAAATATAGAATAGATAGATTTACGATGGGTACATATTTATTTATATGAACTTGCCGACCTAGACAGACTAGTTTGTCTAGTATTTCTAGACARTCATTGTAATAATTCATCTCATCTACGTTTTATTATTTTCCTGGAATAAAAATCCACATCTATTGCAAACGTTTCTTTTTCTATGAAACATTGCAGGTGACGAAAGACTGAAATKTAATTARTTCCGTCTAGCGAAAYGCTACATGCTAAAAACAAACAGYCCAGTAGCCATTTCTTTYRGCGCATGCGCAGATGAGGTTCCGGAACAGCTCGTGCAGTGACAGGGCAGTTTGACGTACTGTACGTGAATGCGGCAGTAGAACGCAGCAGAGTTGTGCTGTAGGTGAATACTAGAGAACTGTGTACAGACCAGGACGGACACCGTAGGGCCGCAGAGATTTTCAGGAGGAGCCCCAGGTGGGTGAAACAATCATGGGGAACTCGGAGAGCGGCTGTGGTGGCGGGAGCGGCGACGAAGAAGACGTAGAGACGGAGAGCCCCGGCTTCGCGGAAGATAACCCGGCCTCAGCGGCCACTGGCGGCGGCGTCGGGGGTGGCGGAGGCACCGGCGGCGGTTCTGCCAGAAGCGGAAGGGGATCGAATAACCTACCCGCACCCACCGGCGGACCACCCGGGCCCGGTGTGCTCCTGGAGCAAGTGAAACTAAAAGAAGCCGCGGCTCGTATCAGCGAATCGGGGGTCGCCATTCACGAGTCTGTCCTGTCCGGGAACGAGGGTGTCCTGATGCGGTGGCTGGAGGACCGGTTGAATCGAGGAGAGGAAACCGTCAATGTGGAGCAGTTTTGTGAGATGTTGGAGAGCAGAGATGCCCCAAGGGATGAATGTGAAGAGGTACACACGCAGGGAGAAGCAAACGTGCCAGCCATGTGTAATGCTGTGATTTAAATGGATACATTTTTAGTTTTTCGTGTCAGGTATGAAAGTTGACCTGTTGTTAGCTGCGTCACACCCATTCTTAATGAGTAATCAGCAGGTTTTATGACCGAGGAAGAGTATATAGAGGAATGGAGACCTGTTATCTGAAGTATTGAGTAAGACCAATGAGCTGTCATGTAACCTGCTGGTGTTCAGCTTTGACCTCTTTGTTGTTTTGTTTTCTGGTGAATGAATGCAAATGCGCTTTAGTCTGCATTTGACTTTGTGTGAGTAGATATGGAGCATTTCTGCACCTTAAAAACAAACTTTGATCAGCATCCAGGTGTACAGGGATTATGTGCATTTCCCATGCAAAAAAAAAAAAACCAGTTCCAACTTTGATCACACTAAAATACCATTATAGAGACTATTTTCATGTTTCAGGAGTAATAYGCTCACAGGTTCATATTAGGGGGTATGCAGGTGATAGGATTAGGCTGCGGTTGTGTCAGGATGTAAAAACCTGTCTRTGTACCCTGTCTCAGGCCTTTGGACAGTTTGATGCAGAGGGAGATGGAGTGGTGGACATAGAGAGCATGCTGGCTACTTTTAAGAACTTCAATGGAGCTAATCTACAGGGAGAGCTGAGTCATGTGATAAGACAGCTCCAGGCCTGCTCTCTAACGCCAGGTGAGATTGGGGATTTGTCTATCTACACTTATCAGACTAAGATTAWATGGGTGTGTGTCCCACCTATAATCTTTCTTTTCTTTCAGATTTTCCTCTTTGATTTTTTTACTTAGTTTTTTTGTTTTTGTTGTTTTTTTCCCCCCGCAGGCTTTGTTGACATCTTTTCCAGGAGTAAAGATCGATTAGGCGCACATGCGTCGAAGATCCTGAAATTCTTGCACAGAAATCGTATTCCCAGCAGTGCCATTCCTTTCCCCATTTTAGAGGGCTACAACAACATCTGCACCATGAGGTCCAGCGTGGTCCAGGACTTCTTGGAATTCCTTTTGCAGAAGGAGAAAGGTGAGATCCAGAAAACACGCCAAACAGATGCTTGGGAATGGAYTTGTCSTCTTCTGCTGCACAACTGGGCAACACTTCTCATCTGAGTCGATCTCGTTCAGATTTAGATATCCAGTACAGAGCTGAGCTGGACCGTGATCCGGATGTGGATAAAGTGAAGGTGGTTACACAGTGCTACAGCACAATAGAGGCTTCCTCCAATGTTACGGACATCTACAAGATGACCAATGGGGAGACTGCGTCTTTCTGGCAGTCGGACGGCAACGCTCGCTCACACTGGATAAGGTCAGAATGGGACTGCACAACGTATTCATGTCACCCTTAAGTCATTAGTCCGTGTTTTKAKTATGGTTTTCCATCGTTCCTCTGTTCCCAGGCTAAAAATGAAGCCAGATGTGGTTCTGCGACGTCTGGCCATTGCCGTGGCTTACAACGACCACAGCTACATGCCTCAGCTGGTTTCTGTGTCTGTGGGGAAGAACCGACGCTCACTGCAGGAGATCAGAGACATTCGCATCCCCAGCAATGTCACGGGCTACGTAGCTCTGTTGGAGAACGCCAACATCACCCACCCCTGTGAGTCGTCAGCCRTCATTCTTTCTATATACTTTGTCTTGAGGTTTTCTTCTGCTGGTTCATGWTGATGTTTTTATTTTGTCTGAAACAAACTATGGTGTTAGTTAGAGATGAGCGTTGCTTGGTTCATTGATACTTTGATGCTTGGCAGAACTATAAAGTCTGCAGACTGCAAAAAAAAAAAGCTTCCCGCCTGAAATGTACTTGGCACAAAAAGTAAGGAACTTTGTGTTTGGTAGATTATTTTTTCGTTGCAACAACGATAATCGATTACCAGATTTTAAAACAAATGTCAAATAATAATAAAATAAGCCATTTGCCAGAGAAGATCTGGCAATTTTTTTCATGTTCAAAACCCACATACTCAGCTCTACTGCTCATCCCACAAATACATGTTCCTTACAAATGTGGCACCATTAAAAATTAACAGACTTTCCAACAATAAGGTTTATTGCCAAGAAGCAACTTGGACTCGTCACCTCTGACCACCTGCTGCCATTTTGCCTCACCCATGTCTTTATGTTTTCATGTATATCTGAGTCACTTTGATGTCAGGGGGTTGGCTTCCTGATGCCCACTTCTGGAGGGTTTTCTCCAGACAGTAGATGGGGTATCATTGCGTCCTGCTGGTTTCTGACCGTTCTCAGCTAGTGGCACTGCTTGATATCTTCAGATATCAACAGAAAGTTAACCTGTCATCTTTCATTCATCGCCAAATTACCCTGACTGACCCCTGCCTCAGCACCGATCACCTTTTTATGTGTGTTTCTTCAAAAGAGCGCCATAAAACCTCTTGAAACCTCAATCTGCTTTGAAATCTTTGCCCTGGACAGACCAGAGTTTGGCTGTTCCTGTTTTAAGCTTCCTGCAGCTGTTTCTGTCTCAGTCATTGACTCCTTTAGTGTGCAAATGAGAATAACTATTAGTGTTTGTTTGAGTCAAGTCAAGTTTACTTGTATAGCACGTCAGCAACAAGGCAGTTCAAAGGGCTTGTACTCTCAAAAAACAAAATACAGTCACCAATTATAAATCTAGCAATAAACATTACATTTTGTCAAATGTCATCATCAAGCAAATACATCAAATCTGTTGCTCAATGGTCCACTTATTACTAATCAAAGGCAGCTCTACAGGTGGGGTTTAGCCTTGATTTAAAGGAACTCAGTGTTTCAGCTGTTACGCAGTTTTCTGGAAGTTTGTTCCAGATTTGCGGTGAATAGAAACTGAATGCTGCTTCTTCATGTTTGGTTCTGGTCCTGGGGATGCAGCGTAGACTAGAGCCAGAAGACCTGAGTGGTCTGTAAGGTTGTTGCACAGATCTTTAATGTGTTTTATAAGCCTTTCAGTGATTTATAAACTAATAGGAGGATTTTAAGTCTATTCTCTGAGCTACAGGGAGCCATTGTGAGGACTTTAAAACTGGGGTGATGTGCTCTGTCTTCCTGGTTTTAGTGAGAACGYGAGCCACAGCGATCTGGATCAGCTGCAGCTGTCTGATAGATTTTTTTTTTTAGGCAGACCCATGAAGACACTGTTGCAGTAATCATTGTGACTGAAGATAACCGCATGGTTGAGTTTTTCTAGATTTTGCTGGACATTMGTTTTTTAATTCTGGAAATGTTCTTCAGGTGATAGAAACCGACTTTGTCTTTATGCGTCTTTGAAGGTTCAGGTCTGAGTCCATCACTACACCCAGATATTTCACCTGATCAGATCGTTTCTCTTTATGTCCAAGGATTATAACTAWATGTTATATGTGTGGACTATAACACGTCCACACATTGATTTGTTCTAACCATTTGTTCAGTGTTCACTGTCATTGGTTAACCAAAGCACCTGACTACCATCCTACAAAATCCTTCAATTAATAAAAAAATTGATACTATTTTTTTAAAAGTAAAAAATAAGCAATTAGGGTCTAAACTTAAAAAAGCAGTTTTATGTTACAATCTTTTCCTCATATCTGCCTAAAATATTTTCCTTTTAAAACTTGATAATAGGAATCCACATTACCGCAGCATTAATATCAGTATCGGCCAATATTGGCCATTTATTGAATATCCGCATTGGTCTGATAAGTAAAACCGGGCCGATATGAACGACYGATATTGATTTCCCACTTTTTAGTTTTGTGTTTCAGTTTTGGGAGTGGAAACGGTTGTTTGATCTGTTTGATCATGATGGTGTTTGTGACACTACACAGCCAGAAATAACTAAAGTAGAGAGGCATATCAGCGATCTGGTCATTTTTGTACATTATTGAAAAAAAACAAGTGTATTTGTGTGTGTATATATACTGTGTATAGATATCAGTTATCGGCCATAACATCAGTAATAATATCGGATATTGATATCGGCTGAAATTTTCTCATCGGTGCGTCCCTACTTTCTGGTGTAGCATTTTATTTTGCTGCTACTGAGGAAACAGGAAACAAAACAACAGCGTCTGAAAATATTGTCTTCAATCGTAAATGACTAACCTTGTTCTTATTTTTATCGTTATATTTTAAAATCTACCAGTGTCTTTAAAATGTCTGCTCCAGGTTTCAGACGGTTGCATCAGATCATAATGAGTCACAGTGTTTGTTTTTAAAATGTCAAATCTCTTGTACGATCGAGTCCTTGGTGTATTCCRTCACTGAGCTAACAGCGGTCTCTCCTCAACAACTCCCAGATGTTCAGATAAACATTAAGCGATGCCTGAGTGACGGCTGTGACACACGGATTCATGGCTTGAAGACGCTGGGCTATCAGATAACCAAGAGTAAAGATGTGTCTGTTTCGGATGCTTCAGCCATCTGGTACCTGTCCCTCCTCACTTCTTTGGTCACGGCGTCTATGGAGACGAACCCGGCTCTGGCTCTGACGGTCCTACAGAGCACACAGTAAGACACAGTTGTTGAATTTTGCAAACGAGGATGGATGACAAATGCAGCTCTATTTGTTACCTTTATTAAGTGTCAGCTCTTGAATCTGACTGTGTTATAAAACTTGGTTCGGTTCTTGAGTTTTGAGCTTTCTTTGTGCTGTTTTCCTCCTAGGAAAGCCTTACAGCATATGCCTCCGTTGTCTCTAACGCCATCATCCACCGAGTTCCCCAAGTTTTTCTCTCTGAACATCCTGGAGGAAGTGGATGGTTTTCTTCTCAGGATAGCAGAGTAAGTTGGCATCCCTGCTATTTTCTAACATCAGATAGAAAGCAGACAGAATGAGCTAAAAGTAAGAACTGAGTACGATGAGGTTTTCTATTGATAACAGAAATTGTGTCATTATGATGGTAAAAAGCTATTTAGACCTTTTGATGTGCAAACATTAAATGATTGTGTTTGTTTGGACAAAGCCTATCAAAACACAGGGACTATTGTTTTAATACATGCATTGTTAAAGGGGCAATATCATGTAAAATCAACTTTTTTGAGTTTTATATCATGTTATAATGTTATCCTGTCATCAAAAACATGCCCAGAGTSTTACTTTGACTCATTCATGCATGTTTGAGAAATCCTGTGCTGTCCTGAGGCAGCCAGGCAGGGGAGCAAAAACAACTGGTTGGGACTAGAACCACCTTTTAGGACCAGCTCCTCCTCTGGTCTGTGTCTCCAAGCTGAGCTTCTTCATCACAGAGCATACAGACCCGGCCCCGTGCTGAAACGGGCGGGACAGGAGCGGAAGGAGGTTCTTAAAGAGACAGAYGCCAATTTCAAGGCGTTTAGAAACAGATATGATGAGAAGTCACGTTTATTTTCTATTTAAACATATAAACAACATTTTAAGAACAACTGAAGGTGACATASTTACTTTATTATGGTATAGAATTTAAATATATGCCTGAGAAACACATGATACTGCCCCTTTAAAGGGATCCATGATTAGTTTTAACATTAGACTTTATTTGATAAACATTTAACTGTAAAAGAAAGACTGTAAAAAAACTGTAGGCTGTTTAGTTTTATAAATTTTAAACAAAGTTAAAAATATATTACACGGATGGGGCCATTTTATTTTATCTTATTTACACACAAAGCATTCTGGGTAAATGATGACGTGGATAGGTCCTCGATGCAAGGCTTTTAAAACAACTTTATGGTTTGAACAAACTGCTGAACGTTTTACTGAGCTGCTTTCATTCTGCTTGCCACAGTATTAGCTTCATATTRTATCTATAACTGGGTACACACAAGAGCTGAAATAATATGCTTGTCCATMCATTTTTGTTAAATTTATTGTACTCATTAGCTCTCTATCGCCCCATTTTGTTTGTTTTGTTTCTGTGCAGCTGCTGCGTGAGTCCTGAYGCAGAAATGACCCTCTTAGCCTTTGCCCTGGCCAGAGGCAGCGTGTCAAAAATTCTCCAGGCCCTGTCCTGCATCAGTGACCATTTACAGACCAAGTACAGGGCGTCCTCCCTCATCGTGTCCATGGCTGCCGTCAGGCTGCGACTTCTCTACCGTAACGGTAAGTGGACCCATCTCTTCACACTCATTCACATGTGAATCTGAAGACCTRTATGGATGCATGTGCATGAATACAATAACATTTCTTATGCACATCCCAACCAATAAGGAATTAAGTGCACATAAAGGAAGACCAGATGCCTCCCTTTGACACACCTCGATTTAAATATGYAAATRGATACAAATATGCTCTGACGGGTGATTCGCCTCTCTGTACCATCATAGACGTCTGTGGAGAGAAAGCAGGTCTTATTGGACTCGACAAGGTGTTTATGAATGAATGCAGAAGTGACTGAGACTGAGGCATGTTTACAGACATATATGGGTAATGCTAATTGTGCTTTAATGTTGGTCTGTTCAGCTTATTATGAGCCAGTCTTCATCAGGGGTCAGACAATCCTCCGTCTCTAACAGCACACCTTCCTCACATTCTGCCATTTGCTATATCCTCTAAAAAGTCTGAAGCCATTGTTAGATATTTTCTGCACCACTTTGCTCATGCTTTAATATCCACTCATGGAATTACATACGCAYGGATGGATTATTGACTCATTGTGTGTCTGGGTGTGTACAGTCCTTGTTTTCACATCATTAACAGTTTAACATCATACCCTCACTGTCGCTAATCGACTGATAACTTTAGAAASCTGCGTACAACAGCCATGAAATAAGTTATTTCATTATTAATAAGTGCTGGGTGTAGATTCACGTTTTTAATCATGTATTATCTGAAGATATTTTTTAGATTAATTGTGAATAATTGCATTATTTTGCACAGATTAAATTAGGACTTGAAGATTTTTAGAGCATTATTGTTATGATTAAAAAAGGATTCAATACGTTTACTTTTATCTATTTTCTGCTAAACGTTGCATCCATCCTCATCTGCAGACGCCTCCCTCCCTCTGTTTGTTATGGTGGGCCGTTTGTTTCTACAATGTGTATTTCAGGCTTGAACTCCTCCGGTAAAGCAGTTGCAGGGCTCACAGTTAACTTTACGTCCATCCAGCCACCATCGAGTTGTAMAATAAAAATGATCATGGAAAAGTTTTCTACGTTCCCACGTTTCCGTTCTGTTGTGGCTCATTTTCTGGTAGRTTCATGTGAGCGTTGCCAGGCATCGGCCGAACAACAATGGCTCTCATTGGTTGAGATGCTCAACGATGGCCATCTAAAGCCAATAGTTGGCAATATCCCACCAATGAGCACCCCCTCCGGACCTCCACCCAAAAGAATAAATYTGTTCTGGTGGGTTCTGAGTTCTGTTGCATTGGTACTTTGCGTACATACGGGGGTCATGTATGATACCACTATGTGGTATCTGTTTAATACATCTGAAGATTTGCTTGGAAAAGAGCTGAGTCACCCTTTCTACATGAGGAAAATCATTATTTAAACTCCCCTGTCAGTTAATCTCATCTTTGGTTCAAGTATAACTAAGAATATGTACTTGTTGCAGGAAAGCCCCTTCAGCTTCAGCTACAGGCCTGTGATGTAAAGAGTAAAGAGGAGAAGTCAGGGCCRGAGAACATGGTGACAGAGACTTCCTCTGGAGATGGTACGACTCCAACTACTACTGCTGACTTTTACTTTCTGTGCATTAATACGCTGTCACGTTACTCTGTATTTGTGTTTTTTTCAGGTTTTCTTACAGAAAGCGGGAGGAAGAAAGCCAGCGTGATCCTGTCGACAGAGGACCAGAGCAACTTCCAGGTCACTCAGATGAAGATCAAAGTAAGATATCAYAATTCACATCACAAAGTGTATGATGAATCGGATAACTTGTGCATCGAGTAACGAGAAGCCCTTTGTGCTTTATGTGATCAGGTGCGGAAAGGAGCCATTGGGGCAAAATGTGGTTTGGTGTTTGCTTACACGGAGGAAGAGCCTTTTGATGCAGAAAAACATTTCAAAAGATTCAAAAAGTTTGATTCATGGTCTTACAAGGAGTACAAAGAGTTTGTTCAAGATGGGTAAGGATTCCTTTATAGTTTATTTCTCTTTAAAATTGAGTGTATTTTTGTGAAAAGGTCAATAAGGTTGGAAAATGGTAGTGTTGTGCAGGAAACTGATCCAGAACTCAGCCTTGAATGTTTACACTCAAAGTTTATCACAGTGCTGTGGTCCAGCCAGGCAAAAATGGCCCTGAATGGTAAAACCTGGTCCCACCCCAGATATGATGTCATAGTAAACAAGGAAGCACGCTTAAAACAGTTCTTTTGTTTTTCATTACTAAAACGTCTCATAAACCACTGCAACACTCTGCCTCTTCTTATCTGGGCCTATAATTTGTGTGATCCATGGGATTTTTCTGCCCTCTGACCTGCAGTGTGAGGATTTCAGCACAGACTGAGGACGAACCCATCGGCTGGTTCGAGCTCGAAGAAGATTGGAACGATGTGGAGATCAAGCTGCAGCAGTGTCGCGTTGCAAAGGTTTGCAAACAGAGTTGTTATATTTTTGTCACCGTTTAAGAACTGGCGTCTTTCCGCAGTCTCGACACCTCTCATTGCTTTGGATTTCTTGTGTTCTCAGTTCCTGATGGTGAAATTCCTCTGCACCAGGCAGGACTCAGCTGAGCGCCTCGGTGTGCAGACCCTTAGCTTCAGTGGGTACTTGTGTCCCGGGGCAGAGAGGCTTGTAGACCTGGATGACCTCAGTGGACAGGGAGAGAGCCTTAACCATGATGGAGTCTCTGGTCTTTGTCTGCTGAACAAGACCTTGTTCTTCCTGCAGCAGCTAACACGAGACATGGTAAACTCACACTTTCTGAACAATTTCAAGTCTGCCACTAGTGACGGAGTCTGCAATTTCCTTCCATAACAGAAACATAAAATCAACTCAAACTTTATTATTAAGATACATTTATTTATTACTAATTTCAGTTTTTTTATCATAATGACGGCTTGTTCAAAAGTATTACACTTTTCGGTTTCGAACAAGCAGATCGTATTTGTAGAAAATGAGTAAAATAATTTACCTATTTAGGGATAAATTAAACATTTAGTTGCACCCTAATGTCTTAAAAGAGTAAACAGAAAAATGCACCCAGTTGTTGGTTATTTATAGGGGTGTCCTGATGTTATTTCTCTCAAACTGATGACACTGGCTTTATAAACATGTTGCTTTTATTTAGAATAAGGTGGCTGTCCTTCTTTATAAACCTACAGCCTCTCTCAAATCAAATATACACCATGAAAATATTAATTTTGTACGTGGCTTTGACTAAAATCCTGCTGTAAGAAATTTAGATGCATGGATTTATTAATCATAAGTCAGGCCTGAAATGAAATTTAACATCATATGATACACGGACAAGCACATATGCATCTAATAGAAGCAATAAACACAAAAAAACCTTCATAAAATTTACTAAATATACTGTCAGAATGGACAACATAATACTGCTCTGAGCGTCGGCCTGATGTTGGCTCAAACAGGGTGTGTGGGACGGGTGGRGTTTAGGATGTTTGAAATGCGGCAGCAGGAATGTGAACTGTCATAGAGGGAAGGGGAGGTTGGTGATTTTCCGTGTGGCCTCGACCACTCATCGGAGAGGCTTTTTTTTCCTGATGCCGTCAGTAAAGTAATCGTTTCCTTAGTTCTGGTGGCGTTCAGYGCGAGGCTGTTCATCCAGCACCGTTTCATCAGTTGCTGAATCTCATCCCTGTAGGTGGGCCATTTGCATAAAYAAACAAGAAATCAAGCTGAACCATAAATCTGATTGGTGCAGACGCTGTAGTGAAAACTTCAATTATATYTATCTGATTCTGGGTTGTGCTGTTGTGTACACAGTTCTGTGACAAATATTGATACATGTGTTGCTTTAAAATTGAGTTGACAAAGGCAGCCACAGAACTGTGCAGAAGTCTTGAACATTAATGACCCAAACTAACATGTTTATTTATTTTTAATCGATTTTTAAAGTGGTTTTGGAGTTTTTGTTTTGTTTTTTCAAAAGTTTATTTTAGACATGACCTTCTTTTCTCCCTCCTTATTTATCAGTGTTTATTCTGAAGATGAAAATGATCAGATGCTGTATGGGCGTAAAAATGTTTCAGGGCATTTTTGATGTGGATGCACCTTAAAGATGTGAGAAATGGAAATAAATTGCATCTTTGTGGCAAATTCCTAATAGCAAAGTCCTTATAAATACAATTTCAAATAGATTTTTTTTAATTTTTATGTTTCAGACAAATTGTTTATTTGAAGACAAAACACAGACGGTTTGTTTTAAGAGTTAATCTTACACAGATCTGTCCAAAGTGACAAAAATTATTTCAGATCCCAGGACTGAACATGAACTTAATCAAAACCATTTTGGCTTTTTCTGTAGCAAAATTAAGTAAATGATGGCTCATGATTGTAGTTCTGGAACACTTTATGCTGTGGTAGAAGATGTAAAACCAAACCACATCCCATTTGAGAACCACAAACATACTTTTTGTGACAGAAAACCAATAAATCAGAGCTACAAACAGCACCGCGTTATTTTTTTCAAATCTGTTCTTGCATTGTATCAAAACCATACTTATAATTCTACTACAGTTTTCTGCACTTTCATAGTTTGTGCTCTTACATACACCTCCATGATTATGAAAGACAAGCCGGCCCTCTTGTGGTCATTAGGAGTTACTGCAGCGTTTCTTGTTTGAGCCTCAGTGCGTTAACAGTTTGATTGTTGAAAACATACACTCATTCAKGATGTGGGCTTCTTTCTGCAGGATGCTTCACATCTGAAGCAGAAATATATTCTGGACTTCAGTGGTCTCAGTCTGAAACTCTTCTGGAGCTTGTACAGTAAACTCAGGGAGATGTGAGTTGATTTTTCTCACCTGCACTTCAAGACTTCAGTTGCATTCAGGCCTGGTTAAGGTTTAGTCCTGTACCTCAGCATCTCTTTGTTTTCCAGGGAGGTAGAGGAGGTTATGAAGAGCAGAGTTCTGCTTCTCCAGCTGATGCAGAACTGTTTCCCCGTGCTGCCCAACCCGCTGGAGCCTCGAGGCACAGAGGAGAGTGGTGGGCCAGATGAAGGGGCCTCTGCAGCATCCAGCAGTGAAGAACCTGGTCCTTCTGCAGGGGCTGTGTTRGAACTCTACACCCACCTATGTCAAAGTAGGAAGCTGTAAAACTTACATTTGTGATATAAATATGTCTCCATTTTACCCTGCCTGTTCTCCATATTGCATTTGAGCCCTTTAATGGTGCTTTTTGTGTTTTTCAGTTGTGGATGATCCAGAGGGCGAGAAGGTAAAGGAAAAAGCTTTGTACAAGGAAGCAGTGAAGGCCATTCTCAGTGGAGCAACTGTGTTCTTCCCTGATAAACTCAAAAGACGAGACAAACTGTTTAACATGATGGTAAGTTCATGTTCAAATGCATGTGTAACAGTTTTACTCTTGGTTAATATGAAAACACAGTGTTTGAAGCAGACCAAAAACAAGCAAGCTGAAGTGCATAAAGCAGGCATAGGACGCTCTGAGTGCAGACTCCTGAGTTTCTTGTTGCTTATTTATTTGCGACTTCAGTAAAAACGTCACAAATTTAGCTTTGTGCACCGTGTTGTATATAAAGGACCAAAGCTAACATAATTAGAAATAAAAGCAGAAATATGTAAATGGCCAAATAAATAAATATTAATAAATAAATGAATTCATAAAATGCCCCAATTCATTTAAAAAAGGAGAACTTAACCTCATGTTTTATAATTTAATTGACATTTATATTTCCTTCTCATTCCTGTCTATTGACCAGTAGTAGAGATGCTGACCAATGAAGGACCGCCCRCTTTATTTACATAATAAGTGCATTAAAGTAAAAACAGGAAACAGAAAAATGTAAAATCAACACATCGAAAAAAACACTTGTGGGAAAAATAAGTTAAAAAAACATTTAAGAGACACAAATGCATGTATAAGTAAAAGTAAAAACTATATATATAAACAGTAAAATTTTAATTCTGTGCTAAAATATAGAATTTGTTGGGACTAAGCTGGAAAAATAAATAAATTTGAAGGTCAATTAAAATATAAAACATGGATTAATTGCTTCATCTTATGTGTATTTATTTATTTATTTATTGGGCCATTTATATATTTCTGCTTTCATTTTTATTTATGTCAGTTTCAGTCCTCCATAGCTGTAGTGGTGACTTGTATTAAAATCCTTCATGGTAGACAGGATCTCTAAGCAGAATAAACACATAATGCCTTGAAATAAAAAATTATCACTTCAGATAACAGAGAGCTTTGTTTTCACTAAAAGTACTTTTAACAAAGCAATCAAAACAGCTCTAAAAATATATAAACTTATTTTTGGAGGGGTGAGCATAACAGTCAGGCATTTTTGGTGGGCCAGASAGAACTCACCGACGGGCTGGGTGTGGCTCGCTGACCATCAGTTGCCTATCCCTGTTTTAGCTGTTCTTATAGCTTAAAGCTGTGCTGACAACAGAATACTTTATAGTTCATAAACATGAAACGATTTTTACTAAGAGTTCAGCTTATAAAAGGTTAGCTTTGTGAATCTCTCTCAATTCTTCATCTTAATTCTTGAATTCAGTTTCAGCACAGAGACTTTCCTAATTCAAGCTAAGAGATCATAATGATGTTCCATTTTGCAGAAAAATATAACAGAAGAGCAACAGCCAGAGTCAGTGATGGTGACATTTGAATCACTTTGTAATTACTTCAGGTAAGCACGCTGTAGATAAAAAAAACACATTAAATTCTCACACATAAGAAGTCCCAACAGCCAGCTGTGTTTTCTCCGTACAGCGACCAGGATCCCATCGGCCTTCTTCTGCTGCCCCCTAAAGGAGCCCCCTCTAACTTTGACATCAGCCCCATACTGTCCGTCATGGAGACACTGTTGCTGGTAGCAGCGAGAGAGGTGCATTAAATCGTTTGTTCCCCTGTTTTATAAGAAGTACAAATGTTTRGAAGTGAACTAAACTGTTTTCTGTCTTTCTGCTGATGTGAACTCTCTGCCGTCCTCCAGTGTGAGGTTTTGATGCTGGATGTAAGCAGCGGTGCCAGCAGGAACGTCTTGCTGTCCCTGTTCTGGGCTCTGCAGGGCAGTCTGCTGTCCTGGTGCTACCTGCAGCTGAAGGGCGGAGCTTCCACACCTGCTGCTTTGGAGCTGGCCCGAGACATCCTTCTAAAATGTGAGCCGTGTTGACAGTTCRCTGATTAAAACCGCCTCTGATCAGTTAAACCAACCAGGTTTAGAGAAATGTGTTCAGATTAATTGAGTCACCTTTGTTTCTATTAGATGTGGATCAGTTCTTGGGAAACGTCAAAGCTGTGCTCTGTTCCCTGCTGGAGAGGTACACCAGTACTGAAATTACTGACAAACTGGGCAGCTCCATTCTGACCACCGTCTTCAGACAGCTGGTAAAACTAACAGTAAAGCCTTTTTATCTGAGTAACAAGCATATTTTACTGAAAAACTGAAACAAACATGTGTTTTTTCTTTCCTGACAGATGATTTTTCTCTTGGAGCTGTGCTCTTTGGACATCCCTCATAGTGTGCTGCTGAAGGGCTTCTCCTCTTTGATTGAGCTTATYAAAAACCTGTCAAAGGACACTAAAGACATCTTCTCAAAGGTCAGTTCACCTCACTAAGACCTCAGTAATGTAGAATTTACAGTTCTTATCATCCTTCTATTGGGCATTATGACAGAAATAATTAAAAGACTGGAATTTCTTAATGTCAAAGTTTAATTAAAATCCTTTTATGATAAGAAGGGACAGAGTTTTAGCTGTTTTTGTCAAACCCTGTAATGGGACATCTTTCAGAAGCGAACTAGTTGTAAGTGTACATGCAGTGATTACTTCCTGAGAGATTCATTAAAATCCATTTAGCGGTTAATGAAATATTTTGCTAACACTACAGACTAGAACAAAGTGCTGCAGACCTCATTTCACTGAAGCAGAATTGTGAACAGCGGTCCACAAATCCTCCGCAGTGAGAGCGGTTCTGCTCATTTTGATGAGTCAGCATGTATTTTGTTGCTTTGCGCGCTGCAACATGTGTAACAATGTCCATATGCGATTGTAAGGTGGACCAAGAGAGCTGGCACCAACCTCAGAAGCCAGTGGTGCTGAGAACGTGGAACCTGGAGTCTCCTCACAACTACGAGAACAGCCGGCATGAGACCACCGTCTTCGCCTGTCCCGGTGCCACCTCGTTTGAGGTGGAGTTTGACGAACGCTGCGAGACAGAGAAGAGGTACAGATGTAGTGTAACGCATTTTAAGTAGTTTCCCTTTTAAAATTATTTATACTTCTGAGGATTTTACTCAACGTTCTACTTGATTTTCRCAGATTTGATTACCTAGAATTCACAGATTCTCGAGGTGGGAAGGTGCGCTATGATATGAAAGTTGGCACAGAGAGATGGCCAAAGGTAAGCTGTAAGAAAACACTCAGTATGCTGTTAGTACTCTGACTTCTTTACATGTTTGTCTCTCTTCTCCTGCAGAAAGTGACATTTGATGCCGGCCCTCAGTTGCTGTTTCTTTTCCACTCTGACAGCAACAATAACGAGTGGGGTTATAAGTTCACTGTAACAGCTCTGGGACTGTCGGATATCACCATTTCTTGGATTTCCGACCTTCAGCTGCTCATGGCTCGCCTCATGGGTCGCCTCGCATCCAGAACCCTGGCTCTGAAATCTCCTTACGGTGAGATAGTTACAGAACAGAATCTTATATTTGCTCACTTTGCAGTATGACAATCAGTATGCCAGTTCCTTTATTGATATTTTAATCAACTAAATAAAATAAAACACTGAATTGTTTTGAGGAATTAAAAGATAAGGGGGTGAAATTGTGTAATTTTCCAACTTCGTCATTCATTCAGGGGTGCACAAACTCTTTCCCAGAGAGGGCCAAAAGGAAAATCTATCTGAGGGCTGTGGACCAAGTGCAATAATATAATACATAAAACACAAATACTTTTTAAGTAAAGTCCTTTTATTTATTTATGATAAATCTAGCAGCCAGTGCAGTGCCCCATGTTTGTTTTTTGTTTTAGCTTGCACACTTATACGCTCAGGCAGCAAAGGCTCATGGGACATTTCATAAATTGATAAAACATCACTATTTGTGGTCTTATAGTGTGAAAATCTACATTTGTGATTTAATCTAAATGTCTCTTGTAGTTCTTTGTACTTCATATTTAATATTAACCCATTCAATCCCAAAATTCTCCCTACAAAATAAGTGTATGCATTTCATTCCTTAGGCCTCCCTAACATAATATTTGTGACTTATTTTTTATTTTATGTTGACTGTTAGTGAAAACGTAGGTTTTGTACTCTGTAACAATAGTTGCCAGTGGGAAACCGCTGTAAAATTTACACAAACTGCTTAATCTGACCTATTTACACATGAAAAATATGAATACCAAAAACATACACACATATTATAACAAGACATAACAAGTTCAACAGTAGGAGTGACTGTGATTTAGCACAGTGTTTTTCAAACTGGGGGGCCGCCAAGGGATGCTGGGGGGCCTCAGAAAGCTGGAGGGAAGATGAGGGGCAAAAAAAGCAAAAATGTTGTTTCTTAAGGTATTATACTGTATACCTGGAAAACACTGGAATAAACTCTTCCATATTGCACCATTTGACAGTTTAGGATAACCTTTATGTTCGGTTTCATACTTTGCAATGTGTAACTTTTTAAATATAACATTATTATTTGTGATTTGATGTTTTTATCTAGAAATCCGCACAGTCAAAGAGCTTCCACCAGGAAAAGTGTCTCATATTCAGGCTTCCCCYCTGTGGAAACCCATCCTTCGACACGGTTTGTATGAAAAGCAGGAAGTGAATCAGGCACAAACAGTTCCTAACCAGGTGAGAAAAGTCTCTGATAAAAAAGTACAAAAGTCATTCAAAGGTTTTGATCGATTTTCTTTATTTCTAAACAGACAAATACATGGACTCATGATGAAATATTAGTCTTCCTGGAGGATTTTGCACGCTGGAACCCATCCCAAGACCTGACAGACAGTAGAACAGAACTAATGAGGACCCTCGTGCAGTCCTGCAGGAAACTACCAATGAGGAATGAGATAGCATCTGGACCGAAGACGGACCAAGCTGTGAATGCCATTTGGGCCACGATGGTGTACCACACACCATCCCTCAACCAGGCCCTCAGGACCTATGGTAACACTAGTCTGTCCTTCCAGAGCCGAGAGATTTGTCCTGATGGTTGTGAGGGTTATCTGTCTGACCAGTGTGTGTGTGTGTGTGTGTGTGTGTGTGTGTGTTTCTGTGTGAGTAGTTAATCAAGCCTGCAGCTCTTATCTAAGCGAGGAGTTCGTGCAGGTTTATGCTCTGGCAGACGACATCAGAACATGGATGGTGAGTACTGCAGACATGATTTTTGTCTCTATCGTGACTTTGTTTCTGATTTCTGTGTGAATGCTTATAAAGCAGAGAAAATGATCTCAATAGTGTTGATGTTTAAAAAGCATTCACACCAGTGACATCATTTTTTCTTTCACGTGTTTTTGTTCTGCATTTTTTGTGCTATTTACAATTTATATATTAAAAACCTTTAACTCCTTCAGGACATTCCAACTATGACTTTTAGTATTAGTTTATACTTTTTGAAATATTTAGTTTTTTTTACTTCTTTGTGCTAATTTCAGCTTCTTTCGGCTTCTATTTTGCTGTTTTTAACATTTTTCTGCTTTTTAGTTATMGTTTTGACTATTTCTACTATTCTTCTTTTACTTCAACTTTTTGTGCTTCTTTCAGCTGTTTTTTGCTAATTTCAGCTTTTTTGTGTGTTCTTAGCTACCTTTTACCTAATTTGAGCTTTTTTTCAGCTAAACTCACACTTTTTGTGATAATTAAGCAAATACAGTGGT